GTGAAAAAGAGCAACTTCTGATTGTTTCTTTAATTATTTACTCACGGAATCCTATAATATTATTTGGCTTCTTCTATAAATATTATCCCATGTGTAATTATTATGTACTAATTTTTTTTTTGTTAAAGAACTATTATGTACTAATCAACAAAGATTATCGGTTGTTTTGAAAATTATTTATGTAGGTTTGGAAAGAAATAGGTGTACTTTTAGCAAAAAGAAAGAAAGAAATAGGTGTACCATTATCTTATTAACTTCATGTTGCATATGGAACTTTTTTTGTTGCATTTTGTGATAAGCAAATTTCAAATAATGTTCTTTTCTTTTCCTGATATTTTTGGGATAAAATTTAATAATATAAGGAAGACGTGAATCCATGCCATCAAACTTTTTGTTTTTTTTTTCTGAGTTTTGACATTCTCGAATTTTTTTTCTCATTATTATTAGCAAAAAATAATAATATAGTCATATAAGCATTCTCACGGTGTTTATGATTTAATTATGTTCTTAGTTTGAAGTTTGGTCGAAGAGACACATTCAATCAAAAGCAATATGATACATTTCCATGTATGTAATTCGTGAAAAGCAAACACATGTAATCAATGAAAAAGATAGGTCACGTTGATATGTAGTCAATTCTTCTTTAACTATAAAAAGATGTTTTCATAGAATATTAATGGTGAAGGAAGTTTCTTAGAAATTTGATTATAGAAGAAAGAACTCAATTCCAATTTTGTTAGCTTGAAGTCTCGAAATAAAGTTTGGTACGTTGGTTGATTTGGCATCTTCTAGAAGTCTTCAGATAATTCGAGAATCTGTTTTCATTTTTATTATCTTAAAACTAACGGTGGAACATGATTGCATATGTAAATAATACACGACACGTGAATGAAAGCAATATACATATGTATATCAGTAATAACAAATAAATTTCTATAAAAATCCGAAGAAGTTTCTTGGTTCACTTACGGTATCTTTTTTTCTTTTCATTCTAATTTTTGTTCTTTTCATATTTGATCTACTCCCTCTCCGCATGGGTAATCACTAATCAAGACATACACTGTTGTGGTAATAATAGAGAAATGAAGGCCCATGTAAAGTTGGGCTGAAATATTAAAACCCAATATAAATACTATCCCTTATTTCTTGGGATGGAAAGCAAACATTAAAATGATGTATTTCTTGGGATTGAATATTTTATTACATCAACGCGTGTATCTAAAAGTGTAAACAATCAAAATCTATGGTCGGACTCGGAAGGAACTCGTGTCATCAATGCAAGTAACATATTAATAAAACAGAACATAAACAGTAATGTTAATATTCCCGACGTTTCAAAATATAATTTATTTTGAAAATTTTGTCATATTTCAAAATATAAATTGTTTTGATAACATTGTATGATCAATAGTATTTTACAATCGTTTTTTTCATTGGTTAAATTATTTTTATTGTATATATAAGATAATATTTTTTTGAAAAAAATAGTTTCTTAATATTCACACTTTTAGCCAAAACAACTTACGTTCTTAATAACCGGTCTTTTACAATCCAATTTATTTTTTGTACTGAATTAGTAGATAACCCTAGAGACAAACGCCGCCTCCTCCGATCTCCCTCTCCGGTGACCGGTGATTCTCACCGCCACCGTGAGAAGGACTCCTCGTGCTCTTCATTTATCGGCGCCTCTTCTTATTGATTTTCCTTTGCTGTCGAAAGCAGATCTGAGTTCTCTTTGTGTTGCTAAGGTTTGGGTTCGTCGATTGGTTCGAGATATACGGACTTTGTCCTCCCCAGCGGTGAGTCTCTGGTTTTTTCTCCTTGTAGATCTGTTTATTTCAAGAATTGTAGATGGATTTGCAGTCAAGATCTCTGGTGGCCACTAGCTTTGATAGAGCTTTGTCGGTGCCTCTGAATGCTTCGGTACGGTGGCTATGTAGTTGCAGATTTCTCTTGGGTATTTGTGGTTTGTTCGTTTGCTCTCTCTCCGATGGTTTTGCGGAGTATGTCGCCATCTTGCATCTCGCTGTTGCTCTCCTTCCTCACAACATCGGTCTACTTGTTCTCTTCCTCCGGCAATTTTGGTAAAAGATTGGGTTTTTCGGTAAAATCACCTGCTCTCCTACAAATTAGGGTTCTTTGCTCTCTCTCTCGGCTGCTTCAATTCGAAACTTGGTTGTTGTTTCTCCCTGTTATGTGTTTGTTAGCTTGTTCGGTGTACTTCTCTTTGTTCTAGCTTTGGTGTTGGTCTCGGGTTTATGTAGGTGCTGCTTCCTCTCTCTGCCTTCGATGCTTTTCTTTCTCTTCCCCGCATTTCAGGTTATGTTGGTTGTGGTTTGAGGATTTGGAGTTAAGGGTCCGCAAGCTTGGTTACTCTTTCTCTTCTCTTTCCTTGTTTGTTGGTCCTGAATCTTTGATTGCCTCTTCCAGTTGCGGAATGTTACTACTCCACTGTTTTGCATTATTGATGAAGTCTCGAGTTCTCTTTTCTGGGTATTAGGTGCGGATGATGGTTTTCTGTGGGGATTAGTTACTTCAGGCGGTGAGCCTACCTCTTCTTTTTCATCGGTTGGAGGGGCTAATGTCGTCTACAATACCACTTTCTTCCTTGGTTTTCCTAGTAGTGTAGGGACTGAGACTCTGTTAGTTAATAAGGTTGAAGCTCTCGGGCTTATGTCAAGACGAGGTAAGTTGATAAAATGGCGTGATGCTGCTGCTTCTGAGATTCTTAGAGGTTGATTTGGTTGTTCTCTGGCTCTGTTTAATGGCGGCTTATCTTCAATGTGTGGTTTGGATTTACTTGGTCCTTGGCTTTTGGAAGATTGGAGTGGTTTAGTTTGGGCAACCCTCATAGTTTCGACGTCTCTTCTCGGCATAGTTGGGTCCTAGTTCTTTGTAGTGTGCTCGCTCAGCCGCTTCCTATCTTAATGCCGTCGTTCGCTGTTTATTGTGCCTCTTCACTCTGTCACTTGGGTTGGGTTGTCTTTACTCAGAATCATAATGCCGTCATATATGCCTTGTAGTATCCCTTTTTAGTTTCAATTCCATTGCATTGTTTGCTTACTATAGTCTTTTTGTGTTATTCTTATGTTGTGTTTTTTATCCATGTTGTAATCTTACCATATGTTTTTCAATAGAAGAACTTTAAAAAAAAAAGAATAGAGAACGACAGGGTTATTTACAGTTATATGTACTTTCTTGCAAACTCATTACACTCAAAGGCACTTTGCAAAGAGTGGGGACTTTGGGGAGAAAATGAGAGATTTTTGGACATTTATGCCCCAAGGAAGGAATCAGATAGTTAGTATATGTTGTATCTGAGCCGTTCAAAATCACTTAAAATTGACGGTGGAGATCAAAGATTTGTTTTAGATCTATGGAGAGTTTGTGTGGTAGTAAACGATGGTTTTCTTCTTCGTGACTAACCGTACCCTCTCGTCTTCCTCTTCGTAAAACAAGACACAAACCAGAAAAAAAATTGGGTTTCTCTCTTCTGCTGTTTTCTCTATTTTGCAACATTGTCTTCGCGACTCTGTTATGAACCCGTCCGTCGCGACTCCGCTGCTCTGATTTTCGTCTTCTTTCCTCTTCTTATTTCCCATCACCGTAAAAAGCCTAACCCTGCAACGTCTCTGATCTGACACTTCGCCGTCGGACAGACGAAGATTGTTACCAATCGTTGTTAATTTGATTAATGATCTATTAGCTCATGTTATCAAGAAGAATTAAAGATGGATTAAAGAAGAAGATGTTGTAAGCAAGCTCAGATTAATGATGGATTGGAAAAGAAGGATGGATCATCGAAGAGATTCAAGTGAAGGTTACTTCTTCAAATTGGGTATTTATATAACTCTTTGATTTGTTTGAATTGGATATCTATAACTCTTTGATTTTTCGAATTAGATATGTATAACTCTTTGATTCTTTGAATTGGGTTTCACTTGAGTCTTCTTAAGTTTCTACAATCACTTAGAGAATCCGATAAATTTTGGCCTTGTTGGGGTAACTATTGTTGTTTCTTGCTTATTTAGGATTTAGATGCAAAATTACTCTTGATTGGTAACTTATGGTAACAAATTTTTTCTTTCTCTCTCTCTCTCACTTTTGATTGTTTTCTTGGGTTTGTGCTTTGTCGGAGAATTTCTTGATGGTTTTTGCTTAATTTCTGAAAAAGTCTCTTCCTTTAAAAAGCCCCTCTCTATCAATCCTTATCTCAATTTGGAAGTCATAGTGAAATTGATGAATCCTCTCTCTATCAATCTTTATCTCAATTTGGAAGTCATAGTGAAATTGATCATATCTCAAGAGTTTCTGATATTTTTTCTTCTTATGTGTTGC